TACGTTAATAAGAGTGCTAAACCAACTAGACTTTCAGTATTTGTTAATGATACTTTAAAATTGAGAATTAGACCTTGTGCTTTTGAAAAATCTTCACTCTTTAGTAGTGATGCTATTATTGCTGACATTTCAATTTTCGATCAAAACATGATGAATCTCTTCATTGGCAATTATTCTATTGAAATGAGAAGTGCTCACTATTTAACAGGACTTGCTGGGGGATTATCAAAGGAAAGTGATCTCTCTACAACAAATATTATGAACACTCCAGATATTTGTATGGAGCTATTATCAGAGAACTCAATTATTCAATTCACAGAAGATGTCTCAAAGAATAACAACAAATCAACAAATAGTTCGGATGAACCATTTGATGTTTGTGTCTCTGTGAGACGTGATCATCACTATAAGGTCAAACTCCCTCCAATTAAAGAAGTGAGCATGAGTCTTGGCTTTGGAAATACCTCTCCAAACTCTGCACTCAATAAGAAGATTAGTTTCATTCAGATAGTTGAAACTGATTCACAAAGACCAGTTTGTAGATCAGAACCTTTTTGGTGTAGAAGTAAGAGCAGAGCAGAAATGGAAAAGAAACAAAATAGAGAAGCCATGCAACGAAAAACTGTAAAGAAAGATGGTGAAAAGAAGAGAAAACCAAAATCTCCATCAGATCAAGAAAAAAAGAGAAAACTGGATTCAGATGAATAAATGTAAATATTCATATTAGTATTTAATTTTTTAATTTTTTCTTTATTGTCTTTAAATCGTTCAATAAATATTTAACAAGAAATACTTGACGAATCATTACAATGATAGACCAGTGACAACCATCAAAAAAAATTTATAATACCGATTATTATACACTACAATTTTTCGAATCTATTCAGATTCTCGACCAAGCACTCTTGTGATGGTGTACTTTTGGAGTGTGTATCGTAGGAACAAAGTTCATTCACAGCTTCGTCATTGGACGGGGACTTTTAGGAGTGGAGTTATCGCCTAGCCTTTAAGTTGCATAGTTGGAAACTAACCAAGAGTTAGACCGTGACTAATGGAAAC